TCAGGAACATGTCTAACATTAGTGAGCGTCCTCACAATACCATCATGCATTTTAATTCGGATTGTTCCTCTACCAACAACATCACATGCAGCATTATTGCCCATCAAAACAATTCCACCATTACAAGATTCATATGTGGAAAACAAATCCCTATTGGGACACATGTGATAAGAACAACCTGAATCTAAAATGAGAAAATATTTCCAATATTCTCATCAGTTGCTACACTAACTTCAGCGGATTCAGTAGTTTTTTCAACAAATTTTTCCTTTTGCTTTAATTTATTTTTCAATTTAAAGCAATCAGATTTAATGTGCCCCATTTTATGACAATATCTGCATTCCAAATTTCTATGTCTGGATTTAGATCTAGATTTAGATCTACTACTGTCAAATTCTCTTTTATCCATTCACCCCCTAACAACCAGACCCTCGGCCTGATTCTCTCTACTTTCCCCATTGATATTCTTGTCTATCTGCTCCTTAGATTTCAGTGCAGACTTAATTTCTTGATACGAAACTGTTTCTTTTCCATAAATCAAAGTATCACGGAAATGCTTAAAAGATTGGGGAAGAGAACACAATAGTAACAAAGCCTTATCCTCATCATCAATTTTTGTATATATATTCTCCAAATTCATAACCAAAGAATCAAACTTATCAAGATGCGAGAGTATATATGTACCTTCAATCATCCGAAGCATATACAGTCTCTGCTTCAAGTAGAGACGATTCTCCACTGTCCTCTTCATGTACAAGGCTTTAAGCTTGTCCCACATGCTCTTAGCCGTAGTCTCCGTAGCTACCTCCCGTAAAACCTCGTCAGAGAGATTTAGAATGATGCTAGATCGGGCCTTCTTATCCATACCCGCAAGATCTTCCTTTGACGTACCATCTGGAATGTTCTCAGCACCCTGAAGTGCCAAATCAACTCCGTCTTGAACCAGAATGGCTTCCATCTTGAGTTGCCACATGCCGAAGTTGACATTTCTGTCGAATTTCTCGACAACAATCTTTGTTATTGTCATCGTTGCCAAAAGATCCCAGAACCGGGCTCTGATACCAGTTTGTTAGAGCTAGCCCCAGGATATTTACCACAAGGTAATTTTGGCAACACAACAAAGACAATAAAGCGGAAAAAATAAAAGCGACAAGAACAAACAAAACACCAGATATACGTGGTTCGGTCAATTGACTTTGACCTACATCCACGGAAGAAAGAGGAGCAAATTACTACTATAAAAGAGGGACACTTACAAATGCCTTAGGAAGATGTTCCTAGGCCATAAAACACCTTCAGCTTACTAAACAAGAAAAACCCAAACCGTAAGCAGGTTTTCTTATGGTGCCTCTTGTACTGCCTGTGGTACATCTGACTTCAAAGCCCAGGTCCTTATTTATAGTTTCAAGACGAGACAACAAGTCTAATTTTTCCGATGTGGGACTATGGGACTTGCCAAACTAACAAATGACACTCAAGGCAATTGAAAGAATTCGTAAGAGCCTCTTAACATTATTACGTCCAACTTCTTGCCACATTCAGTAAAAAGTTTACTGTCTAATGAAGACTTGGGTGATCAATGTAAACCTTAGTGACAAATCACTGTGGATTTGATTTGATTTTTTTTAATTGCACATACTATTGTACTTGTGGGATTGTTGGAACACAATGTTGAAACTCATCTTTTGCTTCTTGTTGGAGAAAACATTTTTCTTGTTATATTTAAGGTTTGTGGCTCAAAAATCAGCCTGAGAATTGGCCGTCTTCTGCACTTAACAAAAGGTTAAGATGTCCCACTGCTTCAATTTCTTTTGCTAGATTAGTTAAGTCATCAATCAATCACTATGTTTCATGTTAGTCGTATATGTGGCGAAACAGCATCACTAGCATGCCTGATGGCAATATGTCAGAGTTGCAAACAGGATTTAACTAATCCTTCCCTGAATATTTTGCTCGAGTGGATTGCACTTTTGTGTCTTGAAATCCTTAGCAGAGGAGGCACATATAGTTCATTTAGTCCAATTAGATTGATGCTTCATCTGATTTATTTGAATTGGGTTTGGATATCTTTCAATAGGATTTAAAATGAATTCGGATAATGAAATAGGTACCTGAATCAAGTTGTTGATATGTTCTGCAGCTAACCTTACGCTAGCTTCGACAAAATCCAAAGGCTGATGGAGTGAGGTCGACGGTATACGACGGTACCTACGAGCGAGTAAAAGGCAAAGGAACAAACTCCATGAGCGCACCGAGGACGAGCGCCATCGTCGTTTTCGCCTCAACCCGTGCTGGCTCTGGCGTCGAGTGGGTGCGATTACTGCACGCCCAGCGCGTCTCGCTTCACGGGACACGCAACCACATCACGTCGCGACGAGCCAAGGAAACAGCTCCTGTCGAGTCCCACGACAGAATCGACATCTCGGGCCCCTCCGCTCTGCTCCATTCGTCAGGCAGGTACGCGACGAGATGTCCACCACGTACGAGACAAGTGTCTTCTTCCCTTGCGATAGCCGTTCCATTTTTTGAATTATCGTGTTGCCAATTTGAACACTGCAGCGAAAAGTGTTCAAAATTCAAAGCCGGAACCTAATTCTACTTCCGGACAGAGGAGGACGAAGAGGAGCTGCTTTAGATTGTGGGATCCACTGGATTTTCCTGAATAACGTCTGGGCTCAGGCAGCTCAGCCGTAGAGCCCAATAATGGCCATGTGTCGTAGAAACCGCACACACGTCCACGTCCTGTCACCCGCACACACCACGCTAATAGCAGTGCATTTTTTTCACGCCATGTCACGTCCTATAATATCGAATCACGGCCGTCTGACGTCCCACAGACGGTTACGGGTGGCTCTCTAGCATGGCTATGTTACCGGATAAGCTCGGGCTCGACCTTTGATGTGCCAGCCCACACAGTTCACCTGTTTTCTTACACGTGGGCCTACCAGATACTTCGTTGGGCCCCTCAGCAGCAGCACCAGTCGAAGAGAGACGGTTGATGCCCGCGGGTCTGTGATTTCTTTTCTGGCACCGGGTACGTGGGAGAATATAATTGACGGTACGACAGCTGTTCCACGACGTCAGCGCAAAGCGACGCCCGTTGACGAAAGCTACTACACAGACCCGACCCGAAACTCTCCGACGCTGGGCCGACGTTTATGGCGGGACCCAGCGGCGGACAAAATATCTTTTCATTGATGGGTATCCTTTCGGGTGGTCCCAGGACGTTCGAATTTAAAAGCAATGGGCAGTAAAACCGGTCACGCTTTTTCTTTTGGAAGGGGGATTGACAGCTCGCAGGCGTCAGAGTAACAGCTGGACTCGAAACGCGTCGTCGGTTCATTGGCTGATTGGTCGTCTTCATCCTGACTCGTACGGCCCGGTCCGGGAAAACGGCTATTTCTTCCGACGTGGCTTCCCGTGATCGGGTCCCATAATTATCTCTAATCCTCCGTGGCCGTCGCGGCTTCCCCGTCAAGCTAACGGGGGCGGTCTATAAAGGAGGGGTTCCACGCCGAGGAGCTGAGCGCAGCAAGTTACCCGCTCTTCTTCGTTTTCTTCTCTGCTTCCCCGATCTCCAATGGAGTCGAGTAATGGAGGTGGATGGCGAATGGTAATGGTGCTATATGTCGCGGTCTCGATGGTGGGATCAGGGTGGTGTTCGAAGTTCGACGAGCTCGTGCAGCCGAGCTGGGCGACGGACCACGTCATTTACGAAGGGGAGCTTCTCAAGCTCAAGCTCGACAACTCCTCCGGTGCGTTTCCAACCCATATACACCTGCGAGCTCCTTTTCCGGGTTACCTTGTCGTTTGCAGTTTCATGGAACAACGTGTTATTTGTTTTGTTTTCGTTGTTTCAGGCGCTGGATTCGTCTCCAAGAGCAAGTATCTTTACGGCAAGGTCACTGCAGAGCTCAAGCTGGTGGAAGGCGACTCCGCGGGCACCGTCACTGCATTCTACGTATGATTTCCTTCCTCTCCTCGCCACCTTGTTCTACCTCCTTGTGCTTGCATTGTCAATCGAGCTGGTTGTGTGTGTATGTGTGGGAGCAGATGTCATCGGATTGGGTGAATCACAACGAGTTCGACTTCGAGTTCCTGGGGAACAGGACGGGGGAGCCGTACCTGGTGCAGACCAACCTGTACATCAACGGGGTGGGCGACCGGGAGCAGCGCATGGACCTGTGGTTTGACCCCACCGCCGACTTCCACGCCTACTCCATCCTGTGGAACCCGCGCCAGGTGGTGTTCCTCGTGGACGACACCCCCATCCGGGTGTTCTCCAACCATGAGAACCGCGGCGTCGCCTTCCCCCGCGACCAGCCCATGGGGGTCTATAGCTCCATCTGGAACGCCGACGACTGGGCCACCGAGGGCGGGCGGGTCAAGACCGACTGGTCCCACGCTCCCTTCGTCGCCACCTTCCGCGGCCTCCGCATCGACGGCTGCGAGTGGGCTCCCGAAGCCGGGGCCCCGGCGGAGTTGCGGCGGTGCGGCGGGAGCGGGTGGGGGAAGGAGGGCCGCTACTGGTGGAAGGAGAAGGCGATGGAGGCGCTGAGCGTGCACCAGAGCCACCAGCTCATCTGGGCCCGGGCCAACCATCTGGTCTACGACTACTGCAACGACCCTGGCCGGTTCGCGACTCACCCTCCCGAGTGCGGGAAATGAACCCGGTCCTGCTCGCACTTCCACTGCTTGTACAAAAGACCCCCCTTTCGTTCACCGTTTAGCTTGTAAGTATCATGTCTTGTGTGCTTCTCGTTATCAGTGACTTGGTCGTTGGATGTATCAAAGTTTAGGGAGTAGAGAAAGGTGCTTTCGTCTTGTTTATTGGTGATGTTGGATCGCAGTGCATTCATTGACGTGCAATTTGGTTACATCACAGTTCACAGTTCAATCCAATTCGATAATTCCGATGGTTGCAGTGAAGATAAGGCTGTTCATGCAACGTCTGCTGGCTTTTTTGTCTAGTAGTATGTGTGCGTGTATGTCCATGAATGTATACATGTCCATGTAGGTATAAGCCCGAACGAACAAAGCCCAGGAACACTCTGGCCCGTTCCCGTTTTCACGCCATTGGAAAACGCTGTCCGATCTGTTGGGCGAACAAGAAGCCCTAGTCGACGAGTCCGTCTCTTTCTCGTGCATCGATCCGATTGAAGTTCCCCAAGTGCGAATCATGGATTTGGAGCGCTCGGTAATGGCTCACGGCAAGGTGGCACCTGCCGTCCAGGCTTCCTTCCTCGCCGGTAGTGCGTGTTTCTTCATCGTTTCCCATTTCATTCGCTCCTTGAATTCACGATCGTGTCGCCGATTCATTTGCAATCGATGACATCTTTTGGAACATTTCTTCTTTATTTCTTGTTTTTGATCTTGATGTTGAATGAGTGGATTGGTTCAGTAAAGAGTAGTTTCTGGTTCCAAGTGGATTATCCCCATTTGCTGTTTATTATTGCTCTTCTTGCAGTCTCCTTAACCCTTCTATTCCCTCTACTGGACTTCTACGACTTTTTGCATGGATCGTTCACTGAATTGTTTTCTGTTTCTCTTGAGGAGGAATCTGGCGTAGGAGGTGGATTGCTTGTGGGTATGTTGGCTAGCTTCCTGAGAAAATGTTGCTAAATGGGCTTCATTGTTCTTGGTTAGTACTCTTGATAGCATGACGCAACCAATTTATTGATGCTTCTTTGGTTCCAATGAATAGGCTGGATCGGCTCATGACCTTCTGCAAGCCCAACTAGTCTTGTATTATTGATGCATTTATCTTGAAAAAGGGGTGTAGCAGCAGGTGCTCGATCGACCATTATGATCCTGGTTGATCTTGCATGACCTTCATATGTCTGAACCACTAAGAATTTATTGCTGCTGTTGTGTAATTCAGGAGATATCTTTATGGAAGTCCACTAAATGGGGAAATACTGTAAAGAAGAAAGACAGGAATATCTAATGCAGAAGAACAGACAATTCATGGACCGATGGTGTCTTAGTACTAAAAGTGTTCTTTGAACAATATATGAGTTCTTACTATGAATTACACAATATAAGATAACCCCTATAAATACAAGATTTACTCAATTTGGGAAAATTGCTTTACACTTTTTCTTATTTGCTGAAAATTTTTTTGGTAAGACGTACAATCAAGTAGTATTTGTTTATATGTTTAGTTGAGCAACCAAATCCTCAAATAATGGGTCTACCTATGAGGAAATTGTGGATTGTCCAATGGCTTGCGGCACCCTTGCCCACATGGTTGGATGGGCTTTTGGGGCATTGTTTAGAGTTGGTTCATTGCATTGTTCCACAGCAGTATCATGTGGATACTTGTGGGGGTTTTTGATTGCGTTAAACCGTCTTGGATCCTTTGTTGCATGATCGTTTAAAGCTCACGAAGTCTATGTCTGTAATTTGCGTCGCCTATCAAGTATTTGCTGAAATATTTAGTTGTGGGATCTCGAGTAAAATGTTTCTTCTAATTCATCTTCTATTTTGTAGGTCCTTAAGAGACCCTAAGAGGTTATGAGGATGCGCTAACCCTTTATAGATGGATGCGTAAAAGTGTCGCACGACTTAGGCAAATCCAGCTAAATCTATGACAAATTGCATGAAAGACATTCCTTATTATTTTGCTATTGATTAAAGATTGTTATACCAACAATGGGTTTTCCTTGATGCAAGCAATCTCATCAGCCTGGAGGTGGCACTCATCCAGATCTTAAGCACTTCCAGGGACCTGATTACATATAGATGACTAATGGAAAACTTTGAAGGTTTCACAAGAATTTATCTTGTTTGTTCTTCACACTAGAATCACATACATAGTTAGTAGAAATATGTAAATTCTCTTTTTGATTTTGTCAATGTTTCCAAGTCATTTTCAGTCAGTCATAAAGAAATGTAACTAGCTCAACATCCAGTAGCTTACCATGTGCTTCTTACTTTGATGCTCCAATGGTTGCCGAGACCCAAGTTTTGCTATGCTTTGAGTACAGGTTCAGGACATCAACTAGGGGAGAGGCTCTGGTGCATGCTTCTGTTGAGAGATGCAGTTTCTTTTCAGTGATGCTGCAGCCTGTTTTGTAGATCAGAATACCTTCGTTTGTGTCACTGAGAAGATCAAGCTGAGCTTGAACCTAAGCTTCCACAATGGCACAGGAGAAAAAAGTTACTACTCTCTCATTTTGTCACCTCAAATAATCCTGGAAGTCAGTTGGGTAAGCACTCTAACAAGAAACACTGAGTTGATTGAGTTAGTCTATTTTATGGGCAGTTTAATGTAAGTTTATCTTTCATGGTTTCAACAACTTGACTACAACACTTACATCTCTGTTTATAATATGCACTTGGCAGACATCAACAGCAGCACACAATATGGTGATAACGCCCATCAAATCTGTATTTGCCAAGCTAATGGGCGAGGTAACAACTCCATTCATAAGACACCGAGTTATCATCAATTACTGTCTTGGTATATATCTTGTGGACAGTATATAAATATGTGTGTTGAAAGTATGTAATCTCCTACTTATCGTGAGGTATCGTGGAAGCCGTGTTGACCCGGGGTTCCAAGAAATGGCAAGCGCTCGCATCTTATCTACACGTGGCGGCAGTGCACGGTGCGCTGGGTCAACTCCTCCACCTTGCAGCACTCACCAACATCACAGAGCTGTTGTCGCCACCATATATGCCCTGCACTGTGCCCGCGTCTCCTCCTCTTTCTTCCTCAGCCTTCTCTTCTGATGCCCGTCGTTCCAAGATTCACTTAAAACATTGTCATTGTTATTACATGCATGCATGTAACTTTTCTTTACTTTTTATCCTCGGTTAGCGGTAGAAAAGAAAAGACTCGATTGGTATGTAGATTGAAGTCAGTGGTGACGATTAAGACGTCCAATATCGTACATTAGGTATGGACGAAACGGAGGATGATACGGCGTGTTTAGTAAATGATTTTGACATTTCCGTGGCCGTTCTGCCCATTGTTAAGAGGTCAACTGTTTTCAACACCAAATCCTTCATCAAATCACACCATAAAGCCGTGCCAGTGCCGTATCCAAATCTAATCTTCCATCTACGGAAGAAAGATACATCCAATCTTAACCAGGAATATGTATTTTATGTCGGTCAAACCATGCGACCCCTTCGTAGCCACGATTTTTGTCATTTCCCAGGGCGTTGACTCGCCGCGCTACGGTGCGGTGGAGGGAAGGAGCGTGGTCAAAGCTTTTGTCGGTACATTGTACCGTTGGCGACACGGGATTTGGATTTGGATTCTGGGGCGCGTCGCTTTCGTCGCTTTTGACCCGTAGGCACGCGTGCGCTCGAGCGGGTCCCGCGTCGGTCGCCGCCTCGCGACGTTATAGGCCGAGAGGGGCCTCGTTATCCTCACGCCAGGTTTGTCCTTCACCACCACTCGGTGCTCACTCTCTCGTCGCCATGCCTGTGAGAGAAGAGAAGCAAAAAGGAACGTCTATTTATCGGACGGTGAGGTCACGTTTTAGCGTGGAATTGGGTCATGATGTTTGTGCGATTGAGAAGAATTAATCCTTGGTTTGAATACTATGAGTTGGTGTTGCACTGACTGAATGAAGTGGAAAAGTTAGGTGGGAAGCTCTCTCTTTTCGAAAACTGCTATTATTCTGCATCTCAATGGATTTGACATGGTAAACAGCAACAACATATCTGTAATCCCAGATGGTTTAGAGTTGGAGAGACTGAGAAGCAGAATGGCAAAACAGCAAGAAGTTAACATGCAAATGGTCAATGTCCTCCTGTAGCTCTCTGGTGTTAATCTTTATAAGCTGGACCGGCCCATGCAAGTCAAAGTATTTATTAGTTAATATCGATGTAATTAATCTAAAGCTTCTTAAGTATTTGGTTGACAGATGTTGCAACGTAGTAGAAAGCATTGCACTCATCCGAACTTGCACCAGCTCATTCGACCGGCTCCACACACCACCACAAAAAGCTTTATATAATGGCCGGCCAACACACCAAACCTCGGAAGACTTGTCAGTGCGAAGCGGCAGAAGAGAAGAGTTCCATGGCGGATCAGTTCCAAGCAGGCAGCTGCAGCGACGGGAGCTGGTGGAACACGGCCAGGACCGGCGGCCCGATGATCCCTGCGTCGGTCTCGTGCTCGACGGAGATCACTAGCAGCGGGGGGAGCTTCCACTGGCCGGCCGTCGGCGACGTCTTCGAGGCCAAGTCGAGATCCCGCGATGAGTCGCCGGTGTCGATCTCGAATAGCTCCATCACCTTCCAAGATCTCCAAAACTCCCACGGTTCGGCTCCGGTGATCACCACTCCACCGGCCATGGATTTTGGCCTCTCGTCCCCTACCGCCGACTGGAGTCAGCCTTTCTTGTGAGCAGTAGATCCACAGTCAACGGTATTGTAGCTTAGTTTGAGGTGTTGAATCATACGAATCAAATGCTTTTGCAGTTGCAGTAGCATGAACGGATCAAGTTTCCTACACGACCACCATGTCTTGAGCTCCAAGATCAATAGCATGCCGCTCCTTTCGGCATCCGGTGGATTGCCTTCTGCACTGCTACAAGACCTTCTCGAGCCAGACAGCAGACTTGAAAGATCACTTCACGACGCACAGGTGATGAAGAACAAGTCCTCCATCGACTACCACGAGCAGCTTTTACCTCCGAAGCAGCAAACGCACTTCTCCGACAAGACACCCTTCTGGGATCCATCAGAGAGCAGCGTGACAGAAGCCCACTCAAGTTACTGCAACAATCCTTTCGCCAAGGTCACTGGCTTTTCTCTATCGACCTTCGCATGTCTTCTTCTCCGACGATGTCGCTAACTTGGCTTGCGTGTAGGCGAACTCAGGAGTTGGTGTCTCTTTCCCCACCTTGGAGAAGAAAGCTGGAAGTGAACCAGCAGGCAAGAAGCCCAGGATCGAGAAACAATCGCCATTGCCGACGTTCAAGGTATCATCGAGCACTTCTTCTGAACTTCCTGAATCCTTGGTGAGAGATCCAACTATTGATGCAGGTGAGGAAGGAGAAGTTAGGAGACAGAGTGACCGCACTGCAGCAGCTGGTTTCACCTTTCGGAAAGGTAAAGCGGTCATCGTTCTCGGAGTCTTCCTTCCCTTTCGGTGATCTCTCCTTATGTAACTTAGCCGCAATCCTTTGTTACAGACCGACACTGCATCGGTACTCCACGAGGCGATCGAATACATCAAGTTCCTTCACGATCAAGTCCGTGTAAGTCTCCCGCCACCATCGTCGATCGTGCTCCTCTTAAGGAAGCAAGAAGGCAGGCTTTCCTCACGTCCAACCTCTCACGCATGATATGTATGTATTCGATGCAGGTCTCAAGCGCTCCGTATCTGACCAACAGCCAGCAGATGCAGCAAGTAAATGCAACCAAGGTTTATCTTCGAAGTGATCTGCCGTTCTTCCGATTGCTTCCTTTGCTATACTGCAAAAGCTGATGAGTTGTTTGGCTGTTCATGAAACATGCAGAGCCTGGACAAGACGAAGGATTGCGAAGGACAACATCAAGACCTCAGGAGCCGAGGGCTGTGTCTGGTTCCAATCTCAAGCACATTTGCGGTTGCTAATGAGATCCCTACCGATCTCTGGAGCACTACGTTTATAGGAACGTTTAGGTAAGCAGAAGATAATCCTCTTGAGGAGGAGGCAGATCAAGCACTCCTCCACAGGCAGTATGCTGCCAAGCAAAGAAGCGATAGGATGGTGCGGAGAGCGAGAGAGAGAGAGAGAGAGAGAGAGAGGGGAGAAGGGGAAGGAAAGAAGTGAGAGGTGGATGAGGGAAGTGGAGGAGGTGTTGGAATGTGGAAAGCTGACACCACTTATTTCTTTCTTTTCCTTCTCTATTGTCAAACCAAATAATATTATTGTAAGAAGGATTCGAGCTGTTCTGCTTATTCGTTGGGCTTTGGATGTGATAGTGGAAGTCAGACGGTGGCTCATTTGGCCACTCGTCTTCTCTCTTTTCCTGTGAAGAGTCCGTCCTGTGTACTTGTCAATGCTCAGGTGATGCCCACACTGTGATCACGCTCTCCGTAAAGAGTAAGCGTCACTCGAAACATCAAACGAGCATCATTACTCTGCCAGCCCTGAAATCATGAGTTGCAAGATGCCATGTCACAACAATTTCTATCACAGATCCATAGTCAACAAATGAGGTTTAAATATCCCAATATTCCGAAACTGTGAGGACAAATATTTTGCATTAGAATATGTGAGTCCATATGAATAGTTCATCTGTCAACCAAAACGGTGATATTAAGACTATCGAAGTTATCACATCTCTTTGATCGATCATGATGATTCCTCCTATCGGGATTTTAGAATTGTGACGTGCGTTTCTTCTTCGTCTTCTCACAATCTCCTTTTTAATCTTCTCCGAGTGCTCTTTCAAAGACTACAAAAGCAAGGCCTTCAGTTTCTATTAGAATAATGTTGAAAGTCAAACTATTTCATCATAATATCAAACTCATGAATCAAAAGTCTCCTTTATCAAGAGTAAGACCAAAAAAATACATTTGAAATGATATGGAAGCAAATGGTGCTTCTCATTAACGGCATCAGACAGCTAAATACAAGGAACAGTGCTGCTTCTCAAAGTAGGCCATCCAGGAAAAAGATCAACAGCAACATGAAACCCAAATTGTGAACGATGACATGATATTGATGGAAGAGTTTGCACCAGGATATGTAAACTTATATGAAAGCTCAAAAAACTCACTGACTTCAAACATAAACAAAGAGTTATGTTTATCCGGCAATCCAATGATAATTCTATCTGGGCTGACATCAGGAGGATCCCTTTAGCTTCCTTGCAATGCCAGCAAAGTATTTTCCCTGGTGAAAAGCCTGCTCCAGCTCAACCTCCGATGGGTATCGGGATCCATCCCCAGCTAATGTGCCTGCACCATAAGGGCTGCCACCCTTTATTTTCCCCATATCAAACATTTTGGCACCAAAGGTGTAGCCAATCGGCACAAAGATCATCCCATGGTGGACCAACTGAGTTATCGCTGTTAAACTGCAGCACAGGCAAAGAGAGTAACTAAATGTTCGGTTGTCCAGTCGCAGAAATACAAAGAAATGGTAACAAAACATCATCCATTTTCAAGTGATAGATCATAGATCATGTTTCAGAATTGAAGTGCTAGGACAGCAGATGTAGGGGTAAAGGGAAGTCCATTGTTTAGCTTCAGGTTCCTGTTGCAGTTGCACAACGGATACGTATTAGAGCTGGTATATTAGATTAAACCAAGCATGCTAAGCATACAGAAGAGCCATTTTTTTGTGAAAAAGAGACCACAAAGAGGATCAAACAAAGTCTTAAGTCTCAGCATTTTGGGAGGAAGTAACAAGATATAGTGATGTGGGACGAATCAATCAAAGAATTTAGTAAACATGGAAGATCAAGACGGGATTAAAAAAATTGGCTCTGTATCTGAAAAGGCAAGTTGATAAACTGCTAAGTAATTTTCGTTAGTGTTGTTTTCATATTCAGTAACTCTTTATCATGGTAGTGATGATAGTTATCCGAGCTTTATGTTAAATTATACTGAAGATTTTTTTTTTTTTGTGAGAATTATGCAGTAATTAAAACTTACGGAGTAGTCTCCTGACCACCGCCTTGTGTTCCAGTGCTGTAAAATATTCCTGCTGGCTTGCTTGCCAGCTGCTGTGCTCTCCATAGTCCTCCGGTTGCATCAAGAAATGCTTTGAACTGTGCTGCCATCATGCCAAATCTAGTTGGGAACCCAAATAAAAGTCCATCTGCCTCAGCAAGTTCCTTTGGTGTAATGATGGGTGCATTGCCCTTAGGAGGTGCACCCATCTTTGCAAGTACCTCCTCCGGCAAAGTCTCGGGTACCTTTTCAGACATTCTTAACCACAGTTAAAATGCTATACCATAAGATGTCATCCCTAAGCATATTCGGCTGGAAAAGCAATTGTTTTCTATTTATAAGGACTTCAAATTCTAATGTACATTATGTCAAAGACAAAAATGCATTTTGATGCACACTGAGATTATCTCAGATCTGTATTACAGTCCACGAATCTCACTAGGATTAACAGAAAAGAAATTTAATTCAACAGCTTAATTGGGGTTACACTATCTAAATAAATGACAATTCACCTGCCAAAGTTTAGCTTCCACTCCTTCAACAGATGAGGCGCCCTTTTGGATCTCCTCTGCTAGCTTTTCGACATGTCCATACATGGAGTAGTACCTTCACAAACATCACAAAAGTAGTTCCAGTGGCTATGCTTAAGTATTCATAAATCAACAGAATAGGTAACTGAAGCACATATGGTTCATCAATTGTTTTTGCTGAACATTTATGCTTCCGGTAGCATAAGAAATATGATCAACAACAACATAACTGAAGTTTCTGATTGGTCAGTGTCAAGTGCAAAATCTAAAGTACAGATGGTCATTTTTTTGCCTTCCAAAGGGGAACTTTCCATGTGTTATGCTATTAGTTACTTTGATGGTCAAATTTCCTCAAGTTTGGTAAGGTCTTCATCGAGAGGAAGGGCAGCATGCATGAAATAGAGAATTGAGCAACTTATATCAGGGCAAAGTTCCATGAGCTGCTCATGAAATTGTGAAAGATAATTTACTAAAAGACACATTAAAGCCCAAAGTCTACCTGACATATAGCTCTCTACAAACCAATAGAGGAAACACTAGTTTAGCTGTCCAAGGATCAAACTCTACAGAAAAAAAATCACTTATATAACATATAGCAGCTATACGGGTACTTTTGCGACAGACACGAAGGCAAATGGCAATTAGTGCATATAAGCACAGCGGTTTTGAGGTCAGAACCATAACTAAGTTCAATAATCCACAAAATTATCGAAATAATTCAGCTATAAAGAACGGTTCTTTACTTCGCTTCGTCAGACATCAATGATAGTCATCGTTTTGGCAGTTTCTTCCATCGGTAAGTACTACAAATTTGATCTTTATTACTCAAAAAGCAACTTTCTTTTAAGAATCCACAGGAAGACACAAAAGTAGCATCAGAGAGCTAGCAGTTCAATGTCAAAGATTGCACATCGTTCCGTATAGATGGCCCCATCGAGAAGCTAAATCAGGAAGCATCCGATGAACAGGACGATAAGATCAAAAGGAAAGCCAATCGATCTCCAGAATCCAAATACCAGGCAACAAGAAACCCCAATCGAGTCCCCCAAAGTCTCCCCATCCTCCCAAAACGATAAGAGTGACTACCCCTGTGGATTATTAGATCCAAAGGCACGTCAATCGGCAAACCGGCAGAGCGAGTGGTGCTTACACTATATAAATCTCGGTCACCATTGCGGCAGGGCTCGCAGCTCTGCGCCTCTGATCACGGAAGAAGTAAAAGAGCGACCTTTGTTTCGCTTGAAGCGAGGGAAGAGGAGTGGAGGTCGGCTATTTATAGTTGCGGTGGGAGAGGTAGCTCCCACGGAGCGGGGGAAGGGGAATGATGCTAAGTCTTAATTAAACCTGTCATTAGCACTTCCATCATGACCTTACCTTACTTAATGCTGCAATTATGGAATGCGATGTCCATCAGTACCAACCAGCCACCACTGTTCTGCTTTAAGATTTGCGAAATTTCTGATGTCACTTTTTGATCTCTGTGAAATCAAAAGCTCCTTAATATATATATATATATATATATATATATATATATATATATATATATATATATATATATATATATATATATATATATATATATATATATATATAAAAAAAAAAATAAAAATAAATATATATATATGTGAGAGAGATAATATTTTTTTTTTTGAAAAA